CAAGTCTGATACGCTGTAACACTAAATTGACAAAATAAACACTGCCAACGGCATTCTGATTTAGAGTTTTAAACCTGAATGGAACAAAAGAAATTCAAAACTATTCAGACAATCAGTACCTGTTTTATTTTTGTCTAGATACAGACAGTTGTTCAATCAGTTTTTAATACGTAAAGTAGTAACAGCCCAGTTATTTTATCAGTTTCCAGAGTTCCTCTCGGGAATTTTAGCAGAGAGCAACTTTGCTTTTACTATCAAGAAAATACTATTGATTTTAGACGACTGAAATGTTTGAAATAGTGGAAACTATTTGCTTAGTTGATGGTATTCACTGAGAAACAGACAAATATGTTGGAGTGTCGGTGCATAGGGAAAACTGATTGTTTTTTTTTTTCTCAAATGTCATACCAACAGTAAATGTACTCTGTGAGAAAGATGTTTACCAAGTTTTAGAAGACGTATAATTCAACAATGAAGAAAACAATATTGAGATACAATTCATTTAAAAAAAAAAAGTTTTTAAAAAATATTGTGGAGAATTATAAAGCATATTTATATAAAAAACACAATTTGCAAACTTTTCCCAAATATTTAAAAAAAATATTAACCATGATTGTGGTGAATTATCAGCCATTTTGTTTGGTTTTAGAGCAATTCTAAATCATATACCGTAACAACGCTGTTCACGATGTGTAGGCCAATTCATAGGTAAGCAAATACATCCCTAGTTCCAATCTTTCAATAAAAATTATCACTCAACGCAGAAAAACTGGCCATGTACTCGTAACAATTGACAGTTATCTGGATGTTGGTTTCCGACAGGCATCATACAGATGCTCAAACAAATTGTCAGACTTGTAAAAAAAAAATACAGTATACTTGAATTGAAGCGTAATGAGCAGCAACAAAACATCAGAGTTCGGAAATTGACCTTCTCGCGTGACCTCACCTTTTTCTATATACAGGGACAGAGGGAATATAGAGTTATTGTCAAACAAAAGTTAACGCCTTCATGATATCGTTCTCTATTGGGAACCCTTTATTTATGAAGGCCATCTGTTTAAGTAATAGGACGATAATTCATACGACCGTTCTCAAGGGTCTCTGTAAAACATGAGGGGCAGAAATTCAGTTGCTTGCGTCCACGCTTCTGAGAGCATCGTATTTTTTTTAGTTCTTCGATGGTGATATTTCTATGTCAGGTATAATGTACTTTTGCGAATGTTGTATATGTCACATGGGACACATATCCAACACGGCGTGGCGCGGCGCGGCGCGGCACGAGAACGCTTTAAGACAGCGCAAGAAATTATTTTAAAAAATGAACAAAAGAAATTGTTAATTTCAACACATTTTTAGATATGCTTTAAACAATAACAAAAACTATTTTAAAATATGTATGAAATTTTCCATCGATTAAGATTCAAGTTACAAACATGGATTTTGCATAAACTTTGACCTTTGTTCCAAAGTTCACTGCCGAAACTGATTGAAATTACAACTGTTTTGATCGTTTTCTCCACTCTATCAAAACATTACTTTATCAATGAGAAGTTTCCTATTGAGACAGCATAATTATTTCCATTGTTGGAAGGAGGTAATTTTTATTATTTGATGAACTTTCACAGAACACTTTCATAACAGATGTTTGCAAGCCAAAAAAAATAAAACAATATGATCACAATTTGAGAGAGACAGATGCACTTTTTCATTTGTTGTTTAGCCTTTTCACCACCAGATTCAATTTTTCATCACAAATTCACAAAAATAGTCCTGTTTATAGTCTGCACATTCCTTCAAAAGATTATGACAAAAATAGCAAAGTTTTTTGAATAAAAACTGAAAAGTGACTAAAATTTGTTTGTTGGCTCTGAAGTTAGGGTTCATTTCCAGAAATATTGAAGAATATAAGAAAAAAATGCAGAAAATTTGGGCGAGAAAGTCTGGTGGCGAAAGGGTTAAGTTATACATGAACGAATGCTCTGCAGTCTTGGGAGAAAAAAAGTAGTCAACATTTTGAATTTATCAGAGGTAAGTCTAAAATCAACAAATTCAGTTCAACTGTCTATATTTTGAAACACTTTTATAACATGATTGCATTTAAAATGTTCATTCCAAAATTAAATTTCAAAATGTTCCATCATTTAAAGTTTTAAACAAAACTGTATAGATATTTACTGATATACGCTGAACTAAATAAAAAGAAATTTACAGATTCTAGACTGAAAACACTGACAATGTTCTAATCTCTGCAAATCATTTAATTTTTGCCACTGGAAACGTTCGCGATTTAATGGTGTTCATGAAATAAAACACTCGTGAAAGTCAATGCAGCTCTGTGTCTAATTCTATTCACAAAAATGTTTTCAAAAATAAATAAATCTACTGTGTGCTTTAACTCAAAAATACTTTCGTCTTCAGCCCTTGAAAAGACACTTTAAATGTGCTGGCTCATATTTATGAAGTTAAATTTACAAATTCTTTTCAGCAGGGATTAATAGACTCTACTGAAAACAGTTGTTTTCTTTCTAAACACACCATTCTTTGCATTTGTATGGTGTAATAAGCTGGAAAGACCAGAACTGGGAATTTTTTGTCCTTTTTCAAAGTTACAAACAACAAAGTTGGGAATGTTTAAGCAAAAAGATTCATTACCTAATTTACATAACAAGAGATTTTGTTTAAGTGTAATCTTTTTTTAGCTCCATGGTGTAATTGACATGACAACATAATTCAAAGCACAGTCCCTTTATCATATGAATTAATGATAGAGGGACTGTGTTAAAAGTAATTAAGTACTGAAATTGTAGCGACTGACCAATTGAATTATAAAAGATTTCACAAAATAAATCCATGTCTTGTTTTTTTATATTTTTTTTTTAAATTGCAATCAGGACTTATTGCCAGTGGGAAATTATATCTTTTTGTTTTAAAATTAACAAAGGAATTGTAGAGAAAAGATGAGGGGAAAAGTTGCACCATAAATCAGGTATGAATAATTATGTCACAGATAATCCCTATAAAAATGAATTGTTGTCCATTTACTAGTTATTTCAGTGGAGTTAAATATGTCTAAGTGAAATTGACATTTGTTAAAAAAAAAAATTGATATACACACACATCCTCATCTTAAATTGATTATGGTATGTGTCCCTTAATTAGGGTTCTGGGACGAATTTAATGGCTAATTAGCTATGCAATACTAAAAACATATTTTGCTTAAATTTAAGTTTCACAGATTGACCTACAATGAAACACAGCTCCCTGAATGAAAGAACATGTCTTGGTGTCTTCAATATATAATAGGTTTATGTCTTGGTGTCGTCAATATATAATAGGTTTCTAATACAGTTGAGAAAGAAGAGAAACAGAACGACAGCGACATGTGTACGAAGTCCTGTGCATACTGACACGCATTGTGGAGATTTATAAGTACTTACAAGTTCTGAAGAAAATCTGTCCACAACAATGCAGACATTGTCACTGAGGCGTATATATGAAATGTCGAGTTTAGACGAACAACGGCATTTTCGATCCTTAGAAATCTCTCAAAAGTACAGCACTGGACTGACGTGAATAATGAGTACACTGTTGTTGAATCTAACGATTGTTTGTTTTCAATTAAATGAGAAAATTGTAAATGCATATGTCTGAGGAATACCTCTACACACTTTATATTTTCTGTTCTTGAGGACAAGGCTATGTACATGTATTTATGGGAAAAAAAAAACCAAGGTTAGGCAATGAACGCAGTCAATTTGTTAACAGATCTTCAAATTCAAGCCCAATTTTGTTAGCTAAACAACAAAAAACACTTCCGGTACGACAAGCCCACAGGCAGTTTTAACATACAAATCATGTAGTTCCTGCATCAATCGTATTTAACACCCCTCTGTGATGTCTTAAAGAAAAGAAAAGCAGCCAATACATGAGACATTACAATATTTTGAATATGAATACCTCGGCTCACCTAGAGTGTACCAGTAGGCCATTTTGAAAACAACTAAATAAACACGACACTCTGTTTACCTATAAGAGGTATCGCCACAGAAAACTCATTCCAGGGTGTCTTGACACAAAGGTTGATTTTTTTTCACATAGCCACAAGGGTTGATAGAAATAAGGGACTGAGAAGACTGACCTGTTTCACGCCTTGCAAAACTTACAGGCTAAATCACAGACATCAGCAGTACAAGGCCATACAATAGACATGAATTAGGTACTTCAAGTTCTATTCGACTGTGTTTTACTAGTTTAAATTGCATGGCACTGATGGATATGTTTTACTTTAGAAACTCGGATTAAATAGTAGAAAGCTGACTTATAGCAAAGTTAAAACAAACGGGACAACCAATAATATAATTGTTATTATGGAGCTGGGGATTCACCTCAAATTTATTACACCTGGTAATAGACAGATTTTTATCCCTGGAAATAAATATACAGGCTACTGCCCCCCCCCCCCACTATTTGCTGGGAGTTTTGCTTTTTAATAAACTATATTAAATATTTTAATAATAAATTAATGAACAGCTTAATTTGTCAAAACCGTGACCGCAAATAATTGTTTCTCATAAAAACACGGTATCCATTTCAAGAGGGTTGAATCCGGATACGACTTGCCCACTTTAAAACGCGCTAAGAAAATAAACCGACGAAAACGATACCGTCGAACACAGGTAGATTTTGTCAAGTTTTTAAAAATCTGCCAATCGATGGCAACGGTGGGGTTCGGTTACGGTGATATATGTGTGCAAATATAGAGAAGCCATTGATACCATTCGCAACCAAGAGGGGTGGTCGTGTCAATTTTTACAACTCGAGCGTGCATGTTTATCTAAAAATGTACGGATTTGTTTTAGTAACTTGTCGTTTGTTGTACATTATCTGCACAGGTCGGAGTTATTGGAATTTGGCACAAAATACAAGAGAACAAACAAACATTATTCAACGTGCCGGGAACCAGTTTCCATGTTCCGATGATGTTGCGTTACACTTACCTAGTATTTGTATGGTGTGGTGGCGAGGTGGCTTTAAAACGCGTCGGGCATAAGCTTCCCGAACAACAGACATTTCCTTGTCCCCTCCTTGGATGAAGAGTGTATCTGGTTCGAACCATCCCAGATAATTGAGCTGCAGAACGCTCTCACTCAGTTCGCGATTCCAGAAATTCAGTTTGTTTTCATTTTGGAGGTCTTGAAAGAGGGCTCTACCAGTCTTCGGTGGCTTCTCTTTGTCAACTGTTGTTGGTTTCAAAACGATCGAAAGGGAGTTTGGGGCAATTTCGATGTTCTTCGGCAGTCTCCTATCCATCGTTGTCATTTCAACCCTTGTCCCGATCAACAGAAAATCGCAATTTGAGCGTGTTCAACTCGGAAAGTGTTGCGTCCACCCGTGTACGGAATCAATCCATAACACGACGCGTGAAAATGTAACATCGGTCACAATTAGAACTGTTTCATGACACCCCGAAACGCTCTAGTGTTTCGGTGAGAACAGTTTCAGGTCACCCGACAGTTGCTCGTGACGTCACGGGTCGAAGAAAATCAATCGAAGTTCTTAGCCTTTCAACAAAGTTTGTTAACTCCCAGCTACATCCGTCAATACTTCACTATACTATGACGGAAACATTATGCACCAAACCCTCGACGATTACAGTGAGATTCACAAATGCGCAAAAACGGTACTCCCCTGTTTTAATCGCTTCAGTAGGCTTATACTTTCCGTCACTCATACCACCCGAGGGCGCTCTTTAATAGAATCAATACTAATGCGTTTTTTGCGAATTTAAGAACACTGAAAACAACCGTTTTAGCCATTAATTAAAGCGTATTCCTTAAATTCACACCTGGACCAGCAATATACACCTCGCACTTGACTACGTGCTCCTGCAAATGGCTATTACAATAGGCACTCGCGTTAAACGTTAAAAAATACTTGAAGTTAATATACTAATCGTTTTCGGCGGTCTACTTGTCACCTTACCAGTATTGACACTTGTTGACCATTATATTCACACACTAAAATGTGCGTATATAGCGAATAGCCGAGGGGGTACTCACTAGAAAGCGTGAAGGAATGCAATGCATGGCTATGCGCCCGGGCTATGCGGAGAGGGCGTCTGCTTTTTGAAGAAACGGGACTTATACAAAATGTTTGAGGAAAAGATTGTGTAATTTGTTTTCAAGAAATGGTAAAAAAAAAATCACGAATCCCCACACCATTGAGGCGGCGCTCGCATCGTGTTGGTATTTTACCCTCTTTCTCGAAGGCGTCACGTAGCAAGATATGATTGATTTGTGAGCTGGTACTAAGTAATACGAGGCGACCTCGGGTGATGTCAACCTGAACCACGTGTCTCGTCAATCTTTCATAAATGGTACCCTCTTTAGGGTTATTATTATTGTTCATTGCGCATGGCGACCCGCGGAGGTCATACATCCTGGTATTTATGGTAGTATGAAAAATACAAATGAGGGACATTTTTTGCCTGGAAACGCCCGCCTTTTAAAACGTCATAGTTTAATCCACAGTCCCTGTATGGAGGGTCATGCTTAATCGATGTAATTACTGGACATTGACTAACGTTATTTATATCACCCGAGACCTAATGTCTCTGAAATTATAAATCAATTTATAATTATGAAATTCGATCAAGCCACCATTTGCATGTGACGTCACCGGGACACCGGCACGAAACGTGCATGTGGAAAACTTTTTATCTAGATTCCGGAGCATAGTAGCCGCCTAAATAAGAATTCTCTATAAAACCATAGATCCTATATTATATTACAGGGTCAGGCCGAGGGATAAACCAGCTATTGAAAAAAAATTGACATAACTCGTTAAAAAGAAAATTACTAGTAGCTATATTTGGGGAATATTTAAATAATTCTGTTTTTTATGTAAAATCATTAAAAAAACAATATGTTATGATTTATCGTAAAATAAAAACATTATTTTTGCAGCAAATGTCGCATTATTCGTTAGATGAAATAATGAAAATCTCAGCGAACATTGTGCGTACAGGTTAACCCGGGCGCATGCGCTTAGGTTATTCATCGCTTCTGTCAGGACATATTACTAGTATCTAACTATCAAGACTAATTTGAAATACTTACAAGTTATCAACATTTATTTTATTCCTGGTTTCTTTTAGCCTCATAATTAACCATTTTAACGCCATACTCGTTCCCGCCAAAATTTAGATTTTTTTAATTTGATAATTTTGGACTTAACTTCACATTGCCAGTTAGTACAGGTCTCAATCAACATTTTTTAAGAAATATAGAAACACTTTCATGGATTTATGATTTGTTTTATGTATGGCGACGAAGTAGAATTTGACGCTCTCGGGGTTAAGCCTTAGACAAATAAATATTTTTGTAGTTAATGTCACTGTTACATTTGACATGTTGTTGTTGTTGTTGTTGTTGTTGTTGTTGTTGTTGTTGTTGTTGTTGTTGTTGTTGTTTTTTTAGAAATTTATGCAATAGGACATTCGACTGGTGTCGGATCTGGATTTAAACTCAATATATTGACGTGGAAGTACAATTATCTGCTGTTAACACTTGTGATCAGTGAAGGAATGACTCATTTTGTGCAATGATTTTTTTCTACAATGAACCTGTTATCATCACGACGTCACTGAGCCAAACTCGTTCATGTTTACACTAAACGTAGTAGCATTGTACGTATTTTAAAATAATTGAAATATGTAATCTCAGATAACTGCAGGGATCGATGACGTAATGCTCCACGTGGACGACGTACACACAAAGACGTCAGGTTATCGTAATTAGAATTGAAATGAAACACACCATTTAATTAATTTATTATTAAGATTAGTGCTTTCAGTGAGATTAGCGTGAACCCTTGCTCCCAGCTTCTTTTTTCCACCCTCAAGTACATGGCACTTTAGTCAACACATTGGGCTCATGTACAGGCGCTCGATACCTAGTCAGTCGCCGGAACTCACCGATACATTTATAAAATTATTGTAAGCACACCGACCGTAATTTAGGTCCTTTTTATTATCCAAGAAACGTACCGAGCGGATGTAAGCTCATGACCTAATTTAACCAATAATTTGGCAGTCAGAATAACCCTACCTATTCCAAACTCAGGCCAGGGGTCGACGTGGAATAATGGTTAGAATACTAACTGCTCCAATCTCACATTGACTGGCACATACTAGTAAAACGTAACATCGAACAGCGCCGCATGTGGCGAAAACAAATGGCGTGCTCGATAACCTGACACAAGAGGGCGGATGTCACCTAAATACATTTATACTTTCCATATACAGTAAAAACTTGAACGCCACAATTGTCTTTTACACATAAATTGAAAAAAAAAGTTGGTTTCTCTGCAGGGGATTATAATAATCTGTGTAATGAAGCAAAATCAACTACATTGATTCGGAAACATGGGCAAATTTAATACGGCCCGGCCTGGAGTCCGCAGCATTCAAAATCCGGCTGCTCTTACAAAAATCCCACCCACTAATCTGATTCTTATTTTGTATTATTATACCTAGAAAAACTAAAATTCAAGCAAATATGCCGTATTTTCACTGATAATTTGATTAACCTCATTCATATTCATGCACCTGCCGGAACAACTCGATCTTCGTCTATGCAATTGATATCATCTTCTGCAAATCGCATTGCATCACAGAAGTTTCTTTTTAAAAATACTTTAGATTCAGTTTTATTGTTTTTTAAACGTGGTCTTAACAAATACATTAGAAATTACGAAATTCAATTACGAAATGATTTGGCCGGGTCTTGTATTTATATATTAATGTTTTGTGTACATCGTATCTTGTATTGCCATGGAATTCTTATGAATATACTGAAGATATTGATTTAAGTGATTGATCTGACGCATGCGCAGGTGACGACCCATGGCTTTAACATAGAATCCCGATACAATATATGATTGGTTATGATTAAAGTTGCAGGATGTGTGACCTTCAAAGGTCATCATAAAGTCGTTTTGAAAAAAACACACAAAAACATTATTTACTTAAGCTAACAAGATGTCAAATAGTTTGATCTTGGGTTAAAAATATTCAAAATGATTTAGAAACTGCTGCTGGAAAGTGTACATCCAGTGGGGGTGCTACTCAAAATCAACAATAATAGTTCGAGAAGGAATGCAGATGACGCAAAGGTTAGAGTTCAAAAAAAGAAACTGCCAAATACGCGTGGGCGCACTAGAAACCTAATGGCATTGCGTCAACACAGGCGGCGCTCTTACGATGTCATTATGTCAATGATTTTGAGTATACTATTATTGGGAAGATACAAGTCTAGTCTACAAGTTTGACATTTATTACTGACACTTTTTAATTGTATGGGAAGGGGTTTTCCTTTTCGCATTTTGGCCTTCTCGAGTACGGTCGGGTCTGGAAGTGCTAGCGGCACATCTATACAATTTGTCAAGGTGATCCCAGACCACGACAGTCCTGGGGGCCTTATCCGGACTCAAAACGCCTCCGAACCCCGTCTAAACACATAAATGCTATATAGGTTAAATAATACTGAACCGGGGTTATGTCAACAACTACGTGGGTTTCCTGGTGTGAAAACAATGTTGTGTCTATGAGATTTAGATCATGTCTGGTATCCTCAAGAAGTGAAAAAATATAAACGAGTTCGTCATGAATATATTTTGTGTGAGTTTTACTGTGACATATATCGCCAGATATTGAGTTTTTCGTTCACAATAATACTATCCGTATCGGGATTGGAGTAGCGATATGTTTTACTATCCCGCCCCCCCCCCCACTCCCTATATTTAGGGGGGGCCTATGCTTGTTCCCTCATTTTTTGACCCCCCCTATCTAGGGAAAAGAAGAAAATTTAACCCCCCCTTTCACGGGCTTTTCCGATGAATTTCACCCCCTATCTAGGGAACTTTTCAGTCTAGAACTCCTTTTAAACCCCCCTTTTTTGTATATCTCGGGAAGTGTTTTGAAATACACCCCCTATTTTGAGAATCTCGGGAAAACAAGCAAAAAATACCCCCTTTTTTCTACGATTTTCTCGGGAAAATGTTCCCGAGACAGATCGTCAAAAAGTACCCTCTTTCCCGAGAAAATGGGAACGCGCATGCATGCGGCCCCCTATGGATCCTGAGTGGGGAGGCCGGGTTTACTATTAACAAATTTGGATGCATATCAAACAAAAAAGAGCAAAAACGTAAGTATTGTTTTCATTTAATATGCCCGTTTACAGAGAATGTGAAAACC